GAGGATGATTCTGTTTGAGAAATAATCTTGTCTGTTAGTTCAGAAATAAGTCATTCCTTGATTTATCTCATTCCTAAGGAGCACATACACAATACGCATTCTCATTTAAAATTCATAAATGTTGTCACTTATATGGAGGGTTTCATAGAAGATGTGAAGAAAAGTTGGACAAAACCTATGGAGGGAGGTGCCTTAAACACTTTATAGAAAAAGCTTCAGGAAATCCACCCTACTATCAAGCATTAAAATAAACCTTTTTCAGATATAAAGGGTAAGTTGGATAAAGTCAGTATTGATCTCAATACAACTCAGGGGGGTTGGTTCTAGACAGAACGAACTTCCAGATAATTGATAGGGTGAGAAGATATACTTATAAAGTTATAAAGTATAATGAGATAAAGGAGCAAGTGCTTAGGCATGGGGCTAATATTGATTGGCTAAAGAAGGGGGGTGAAAATAAGTCATATTTCCATGCCTCAATCAGAAGTCAGAATAACCAAACTTGTATGCACATGTTGTACAGGATCGATGGGACTACTATTACTAATAAGCATGAGATATAAGAGGAAATTATTGAATTCTACATGAATTTAATGGGGACTACAAGAACCAACTTGAATAGTATTGATCTTGAAGCTATGAGGAACGGGAAAAAGCTGATTGTTGAGCAAAGGGAAGATTTGGCCAGACCTATGACTGACTTGGAGATAAAGAATGCTCTGAAAAGCATAGGGGACATGAAAACACCAGGAATTGATGGGTATGGTGCCATGTTTTTCAAAAAATCTTAGGACATTGTTGGAAAGGATGTTAATAGGGAAGTACAAGGATTCTTTGAGAAGGAGAAACTTTATAAGACTGTTAACTAGGGGTGGCAAACGGGCATGCCTGCCCCGTTAAGGCCCTCCCTGCAAAAGCCTGCAAAAAATGGGGCGAGACGAGAATAGTTGAGGATGAGGGCCTAAAACCTAGGTCCGTCCCACAAAGAGTGAGTGCGGGGCGGGGAAATCCCGCAGGCACTACACCTTTTATGCCTAAAAATGCAAAATTTTATGCTAATGCTCATGCCTGCAAAATCCTGCAAAAAAATAGGGCGGGGTGGGGCGGTCACATTAGAGGGTGAGGGCCTAAATTCTTGGCCTGCCCTGCACTAAAGTGCGGGCAAAACGGGCATGCCCAACAGACTTGCCCTATTTTGCCACCCCTACTGTTGATTTTACTATGCCGGTGTTGATTCCTAAAACCAATGAAGCCAAGAGTATCAAGGAGTACATGCCCATTTCATGTTGCACTACCATTTATAAGATAATCTCTAAGGTTATAGCAAATAGGATTAGCAAGGTTCTTTGCAGCACCATTCATATGAGTCAGGCTACCTTTGTTCCAGGCCAGCACATCCATGATCACATTATGCTAGCCTTTAAGCTTGTTAGAGGATATTCTAGGAAATGAGGCCCTCTCAAGTGTATGTTGCAGATGGACATTCTAAAGGTGTATGACAGAATGGACTGAAATGCTTTGGAGAAAATTTTGAAGAAGCTTAGATTTCCCCCAAACTTCATCATATTGGTCATGGTTTATGTAACTGTGTCATATCAGTTCAACATTAATGGTGAGTATTTCAGAAGAATGGTTCCTAGAAGGGGGGCTCAAACAATGTGATCCTTATCTCCTCTTTTGTTTGTCATAGTGATGAAATATATGAAAAGATGTTTAAATAAGCTGAACTCTATCTAGACTTCAACTATCACTCTAAGTGTGAGAGAATCCTATTGGTAAATTTATGCTTCACGGATGACTTACTATTTTTCACTAGAGGGGATCCTACATTAGTGTTTATTCTGATGAGATTTTTCAACCTTTTTTCTGATTCTACATGTCTGGTTGTAAACCCTAGTAAGTGCAAAGCATATTATGGGGGTGTGGATGATGACATTAAGAAGAAAATCAGAACCATTACCTCTTTCAATGAAGTTACCCTGCCTTTTAGGTACTTGGGGAATTCCTCTCTCAAGTAAGAAGTTGAGTGTCTAGTAGTGCATGATTCTTGTTGACAAGCTGATGGATAAGATTCGTCATTGGAGCTTTAGAATGCTTAGTTTTGTTGGCACGTATTAGTTGATTAAAAGTGTCTTGTTTACTGTAAATAATGACTATTTACAATGCATCCCAATGCCTAAGAAGTTCCTGCATATGACTGACTCGAAATTGTAGAAGTTTTTTATGGACAAGTAAGGATACTATTTCTAGGAAATCCCCAGTGTCTTAGAAAATTGTCTGCTCCCCCTAGATTAATGGAGGTCTGAGTCTTATCCACCTTATAGACTGGAACAAAGGCGACCTTATTAAAATGCTATGGAATCTCAGTGGGAAATATGATAGTATGTGGATTAGGTGGATCCGTGCATATTACATAAAGAAGAGAGATATCATGAATATGCCTACGCAGAAGAATGGTTCATGGGTTATCAAAGCCATTCTTAAGCCAAGACTAGTCGTTGAGCAAAATAATATATGAACTGGAGGGCTTAGTAAAAAATATGTCAAGACAAGAGAAATCTACCAAGACCTTCTAGGTGAGCAAGAGAAAGTGCCATTGAGGAAAATTCAGTTTGACAACTTGGGAAGGCCACGGGATAAATTCTTTTTATGGCTTGCTTGCAATGGTAAAATAGCCACAAAAGAAAGATTGAAGAGGTTTGACATGGTGACTAATGATATTTACTACTTTTGTGATAAATAGGAAACTGTTGATCACTTGTTTTTTGAATGTGTAGAGATCTAGGGAATTTTGAGACATTTCTCAATTGGCTCTAGATGCAACATACCCATGGGACTTGGCATAATGAGCGTACATGGTTGGTTAGGAATAGTAGTGGAAAATATTGGAGGGCCAAACTGCTAAGGCTAGCATAAACAGAAACATTATATGACTGAAGCATTATATGACTGTTGAAAACATATAAATGATATTTGTTTTGGAAATAATGTAAGTAATACGGGTATAGAGGATAGAATCATAGACACTTTGATTTACAAGACTCAGATGAATCCCAAGTTGCATAAACATATACGCCAATAATGATATCTTAAGTTAGCGTTTTTTTTCTTGGTTTGGCGGGATCTTATGGATCACCATATTATTACTCGTTTTTGGTTAATAAAAGTATTTTGTTTCTAATTTTTTTTACTTTTTATTGAATTTTTATTAATGATCCTAAATAAGATAAACAACTTAAATTTTAATTTCTTTTAATTTATAATATGCAATTAAACTTTAAAATTTTAAAACACTCCTGAAATATATTCCTATATTAAAACAACCAATTAAAATAATAGAATGAAGACTCATAAAACTGAAAAAGCTATATTTTTAAATTTTTGTAAGTTTAAAATTTAAGTGTTATTTTTCATATCTTAATTATTATACATAAAATTAATAATAATTATTTATATTACTATTTATTTGTAGTTATTATTTACTAAATTTAAATTTTTTATCCTAAATTAAATTCTTGATTTAATTCAATTATTTAAAAATTTACATTAACGTAGCTACAAAAAAATTTCATTAAAAATATCATTATATAACATTCCTTATAATTTTTTTTTTTTTTAGTATTTTTCCAGTCTATTGATTATATTATATTAATTAATGTAGCTACGAAAAAATGTTCATTAAGAAAATATCTTTATAAAATATTTCTTATATGTCGTTGAAACAAAGGATATGTCGGAAAACAATATTCATCAAAAAGTTTATATTCAAAGGTTAACATTGACTCCATTTGATTAAAAAAAAATTATTCACATTTCAACGACTTCAATTTTCTTTGATTGTTTTATTTGTAATGACTATAAATAAAAGTCAAGGACAATCAAAGGCATATCAAGAGTTATGATTAAACATATTGGTGACTAATTATGAATATGAAAATATTGATACAATATCAAATATAATTTACAAAGACATATTTAAAAATATTGTTTAGTTAATTATTTTTCTTTCTTTCAATTTATACATTTTTAATTATTATGTAAATGACTTACATAATCTAATTGACATGCAAACTAATTTTATAAACAAATAAATATTTAAATATTGACTATTATAAATAAAATATAGATTTATTTCTAATATACGGGGATCTACTTTACGCTAAATAGTGTAATAAGGAATCATACCGTTTTGTTCAAATTCATGGCGTTATTTAGATAGTAATGTCTATCGACTGAAATAACCTCCTATTTACAATTTTAGGCATTTTTAAATTTCTCTTATTTCATGGACGAAGTTGGAGATGTAATCAATTATATTATTTCCTATCCATTTATGCGTGAAAATAGAAATAAAGATAAATGGATGAAAAAGCTCTCGCGCATGAAACTTATTGAATCAACAAATAACAATATCTAGGATGTTTGTGTTTATATGTTAACGCAACAATCAGGTTAGGATTGAGCGAAGAATATTTTTATTTTTGAGATTTTCTGTTTGAGCAATACACTTTTGTGGAAGATACACTACTTGTCTATTTAAAACCTTTAGTGATAGATGAATAGATTATCCTACTTATAATTGCTCAAATTACCATATTTCTATCTAATATGAGACTATTTTCCCACACTCACACTTGCTATATTCTCAACATTTTAAAATACAAATTTTTTTAACATCATAGAAGACATAAATGCTTTTAGTAATCATAATCAATACAGAAAGAAATTTGCTGAGAATATACATACAAAAGAAACTTCATAAACTTCATTAAAAAACAATATGTATACAAAATAAAACTTTGCAAGAACAACCAAATTGAGAAAGAAATCGTAATTCAAACTACAAATATATTAAGGACAATTACACTCAGTTTCCTTGAGATTTATTAAAATGATACCAACACCTCTTCTAATTTTAAAACATACACTAACCTCTTTTAAGTACACATATACCAACGAAAATTTAGTGACATGAGAGATTTGTGTCATTTTAACATACCTTAATGGAGGTCAGTGTAATTTTCCCAATATATTATTACTATATCACTACTATAATATTTTCCTTGTATCCCAAATTCCCCAGGTTTCCGTGAAATCCTGTCAATGATCACGATCTTGTGAAGAAGCTTGCAACTATGATAGAGAAAGTCAATAAATTGATCACTGATGTGATTACCAGAGAGGTCAATCTCGCGGAGATTTGGAAGTGCCAATAATGGATCATTGTGATTTATAAAAAAATCTCTACTACTTCTAACACGGGGATAAGTGAGATTTAGTTTTTTAAGTAACGGAAAATATTCAGCAATCAAGAATAAATTCTTCTTGTTGAAATAACTCATTCCATGAAAAGTGAGAGATTTCAAATTTTTCATAGTTTTGGACAAAGGTATCAATCCATTTACAGGAATCTGGATGCATTTTTTTGAGTAAAAATCCTTGGAGAGATTGAGCGATTTGATATCTAAAGGGAAAGTGGATATTAGAGCCAGAATATCATCCACTTCTTCTACGGTTTTGGATAGGATAGTGAGTTCGAGGGATGTGAGGTTAGGGAAGCGATGGAAGAGGCGAGGAAGGAAAGAGATGGTTTCATCAGTGATTTTGACGGAGAATCGGAGACAGTTGGTGATGGAGAGGAACTGTTTTGAGAATACAGAATATGACTTTAAAGTGTGGTTGTCACAACTGAGAAATTTGAAGATGCACTCCCATAGTACATCAGGTAAATATGAACATATTTCTTCTCTTTGCCGCCCTTATTTGATATTTATCTGAAGAATAAAATGTTAATATATGTTTTGAAATAATTTGTTTTTCTTATTCTTATAATAGTATCCATATGTGCAACCATTTAATTTTCCTTTTGATGAATTGAATAGATTAATTTTAAACATATTCTAAGGGTCAGTTTGATTAGTAGGATATGACAAATACGTGATATGATATATACAGGATATGATAAAAACATGATATGATATAAGCAAGATAGAATAGAAACATAATATGATATAAAGTATATAAAGTAGGATAAGGATATGAGTCATTTTTTCTTCTTATAATTAGTGCCCATTTTTGCAGCCAATTAATGTCTATTAGATGTCTTAAGCAGATTAATTCAAAAAATAATTTAAGGGTCGATTTTGATGAGTAAGATATGATAGACATGATATGATATAAAGAAGTAGGATAAGGATAAAATATGAGTTTAATGTACATGCACTGTAGTCCAATAATAAATCAACAATCTGTCATGTCTTTTAAATAATTTTAAAATATTAAAGTGATTCGGTACGATACAAAATATTTATTGGTTGACAGTGTAAACTCAATATATGACATATTTTCTCATATGATATAAAGAAAATAAGACTTACCCTATTATATATTTGATTCCCAAAGGATATCAAATATGATTATATATATATATATATATATATATATATATATATATA